GGGCTCATAATATACTATGGTGTTAAAGAAAAAGTATTGCCCATAATATTACTTTATACTATGAGTAAACTAATATTTATGACTAGTAAACACAGAAGTATAGACAATTTATATAACGTATTGTATTACTAATTTACAAACTATTTTAAAAAACCCATAAATTTACTGTAATACAGAGAAGACTAATCCATGGGATGAAATGTAAGTAGGAATTTCATCCCAATGATATAGGGATGAATTTCATTAATTTAATGAAATAGTAATATCATTTCATAATGGCTTTTACTCAAAATTGGGACCTAAAAATGGGTATTTAGCTATGTTGTAAAAACCGGACTGGTGAGCGACCCGGTCATGTGACTGGGTCACGGGTCAACCCGGACCCGGAGGGTCAGCCCGGTCAAAGCCGGAAAACCGGTCAACGATTATACGTCTATATAATAATAATAAACATATAATTATATACACTCTCATTATATATTTTTATTTGTATTGTACATTTATATTATAATTTGGCATGATTTTCATTCTTAAATAAATATATAAATATATTACATAGTTTTTCTTTTTAGGGAATTGAAATTGCAATTTTATTGGTTTAAAAAATGCATTAAAATTAAAAAAGAAATTACTTTTTTTTTTTGGAAAAGACCGAAAACCGGGTTTTTCGGGTTTCTTGGGTCGGGTCCGGATCGGATTTTTTTGGGTCAGCCGGGTTTTTCCGGTTTTTGACCATTTTCGGGTTTTGAAGAAACCGAACCGGATTTTTGTCCGGGTCACCGGGTTCCGGGTCAACCCGGCCGGGTCGGGTCGGTTTTTTAAACATAGGTATTTAGGCAATTCATGGTAACCGGTATGTTCAAATACGGATTAGGGAAATACTCGTATTATACATTAATATACGAGTTGCCATACAATGTAATCCTAGTGGTTTAACCCCAATTAGATTATCGAGTAATGCCTCAACTATATTTAACATACATTCGTATTTCTCATTACACAATTCTCAAATATTATGATCTCAAATAGCAACTTGAAATGAGATCTCATAATTCGATTGGGCTATAATCAGAATAGATTATACCCAACGACATCAGTGATACCCAATAATATACCAATTTCGAGTTGTATATACCCAACTACAAAGAACCGTATCATCCATTTGTTAAAGTGACTCACATAGTCATATTACCCAATTCTATATGTATTTAGACCTATACAATAATACTGGTTATAAGAAGGTTATCACGACATGTGAATGTTTACCACGAGTCGTGAATGGGATTATGCATGGTAATATACTAGCTTATATCATTGCCTATATATTTAACCGGGTACCCCTATATTTAAAATTATAATACGTTGATTAGTTATATTGTCTGATTTACCAACAAATATGGGGGTAATAACTAATAAGTCAATTCTTGTTATCAATGTATACCGAATTAAATATGATAATGGGTGTATAATTTGTATAGAAATTACTTCAAATAGGACTAAAACTATGGCAAAAACTCAAAATAGGACTTGTTATGTTTTTTTTCCAAAATAGGACCATAGTGGTCCTATTGGAAACATACTCATTTCTTCCTTCCATTCTTACCCCTCCTTTAAATATTAGTAAAAGATAGCTAAAAGTCATAATTAAATGTTTAATTCATAATAAATTCAAAAAAATTTCAATAATTCGTAGAAAAATAATAAAAAAATTAATAAAATTTTTATAAAATAAAAAATAAGAATTTTTTTTTTTTAATTTTTTTTTATTTTAAAAATTAATAAAAAAATAGTAAAACTCCATAAAAAAAATTAAAAAAAATATGGATATGTTTCCCACCGCCTGTACTACCTCCCTGAACCACCACCTCCGATCGGTGTAAAAAATGCCACTTTTTTTTTAAATTCCACAAAAATGGCATATTTCTCTATGAGAATGCCAACATTTTCATTCTGCCAACTTGAATCCTTTTGACTTTTGCCAAAAATATGGCATTCATAATTTTTTTGGCATTTTTTTACCCCGGTGACAGGAGGTGGTGGTACCGCCTCCCTGCACCACCACCTCCGACCGTTAAAAAAAAATGTCATATTTCCTACAAACTTCCATTTTTTTCGGAAAATGCCAAAAATATGGCATATTTCTCTTTGAGAATGCCAACATTTTTTTTCTTCCATCTTAAATCATTCTGAATTATGCCAAAAATATGGAATTCATAATAAATTTGGCATTTTTTCCCCAAATGACTAGAGGTGGTGGTGCTGGGGCGGTATAGGCGGCGGTGACAAAAAAAAATATTTTTTTGATTTTTTTTTAATTTTTTTTAATTTTTTTTTATTTTTTATTTTTTTTGAGTTTTTTTTTTTAAAAATTTATTATTATTCAAAATATTTTTATTAATTTTTTGGTATATTTTACGAATTTTTATTATTTTTTATTATTTTATTATGAATTAAAACATTCCAATAGGTATAAGGGTATATTTGTCCAAGACAAACATAATTAGTCCTATGGAAACATAGTTTATTTTTTGGTCCTATTTGTGCAAAGTGAATGACTTTTAGTCCTATTTTGATAATTAACTCTAATTTGTAAGTACTCATTGATTACTAGTGTATAAAACAAGATACTATGAAAACGTATACCATAGTACCATACGTTTGATTTATTACAAATGAATACGGACTAGGATGTTTTCTTTTGGACTGAAATTTGCTGGTCTGGTCTGGTCTGATCTGATCTGGTCTGGTCTGGTCTGTTTAAGTCTGGTCTGGTCTGGTCTGGTCTGAACTAGTCTGGTCTAGTAAACGTCTGGTCTCTGTGTATTTTATAACTATCCAAGTCTGGTCTGCTCTGGTCTGTTTAAATCTGGTCTGATCTGATCTGGTCTGGTCTGGTCTGATCTGTTTAAGTCTGGTCTGGTCTGGTCTGGGACTGAAAATAGTCCAAAAGAAAACATCCTTATTGGTCAAAATGGACTGTAGTATATGTCAGAACTTGATTTAGTTATGCCATTTATTGTTCTTCTAATAGCAATGAATATTAGACATAGAGATCAGAATTGTCTACTCAATATGTCGATAGCCTGTAATTAACCTATATTGAGTATACTAAATCATGGCATGATTTGGGATATCTTGTATGGTCATTATTAATGGCTACACTTATATCCATTCACGGGTGTTATTATACCATTTATACCTTAATACGGAGTACTACGTATAAAACATGTGGTTCATTACCATATAAATGACTTATCTGTTTTTTATAGTCGATTTTTACGTAGTGATCACAGGTAATAACATACCGATCTAGAATACACCAAGTGTCATATAGTCTTATTTACTAATTTAAGGTACCTAACATGTACTCCCTCTGTCCCGTTAGAATGTTCTCGTTCACTATTCATTGGTCAACTTAGGTCATTCCTAATCTTTTATTTTATATATCAAATTTTTATCAAATTGAACTTTTCTTGATCAGGCTTTGTAGCGGTTTTAATGTAGTTTCTGAATATGTAAATTTTATTTACTAAAAATAAGCGGAGTGTGAACAGGGATCGAATTGCTTTATCGTCAGTCAAGCATCGTAAACCGAACGGGAACATTCCAACGGGACGGAGGTAGTATGACATCCTAAAACATACATTATATAGTTATCACGAAGATTGACTTCCCTTTTAATCATTCTTACCATGTATTGAATTACCTGGATAAATACAAGAATTATATAGTTAATACATGTATTCTCTTGGCTACATGATACAATTGTGGACATCTTTATTTCCTATATACTCATTTGGTTACGTAATTACATAACCAAATATTATACAGTCTTTAACATGGGTATCAATTGACATTCGACCGATTACAAGTGGGTGAATACCCAATAAATTAGTATTATCAGCCAAGTATATGTGAGAACATCCTGTAGTACTATGTTTACCTCACCCATATATAGTAACCTATCGATACTTTCATACGTGCCAATCTTCTGATCGTGTAATTAATCAGAAGTCCAACTGTCATCATGGTAGACAGTTGGATCAATACTGTAGGGATATATATCAACCATTATATGAATCGGATCATATACAAACATATATATGCCTATATCTTTTTGAAGTAACACCTGCCGTTTCATAATTACAGTGTGCATACTATTAGAAAAATAAGATTCTAATAGTATTGTGATGTCATAATATAATAGGTTAATATTTAGTAAGTCAGAACTGATTATCATTTCACTATATCAACCTATATTATTCAGATAGTATGTAATCTAGATATGTGAGGGATTTAGTAAATTGCTGGCCACGTCATTGATCTCACTTCATATGATACACTTTTATTAACTTGTACTACATTCGTCCCATTTTATGTGTCTTAGTTTGACTTGGCACGATTATTAATGAAGTGATTGATAAAGTAAAAGTTGTGGTTGAGATTTAAGTATAATAAAGTGAAATGGTGTAGGCCACATATTTCTTTCCGAAAAAGGAAAGTAGACACTTATTTTGGGACAACTCAAAAAGGAAAGTAGGACAGGTAAAATGGGACGGAGGGAGTATAAAATAGTTGAACTCAATAGTTAATAATGTTCTACGCCTTATCCATCTCAAGTAGAAATTGATCGTATGTCACAATAAGGACTATATTATCACCGGATATTAACTATATATGGTATTATATACTGGAAACTCAATCATATCAAATACGTTTATTCAGTGAATACGTATATGTTAGTCACTGTAAACAGTATGTCGGTTTACAAGTATTTTACGATAATACTCCTATAACAATTCTGGATTTAAGGTTCATGTTTGATCTACTGCCAACCTTCATAATAACATGTCAATTCCATAACTCGAGAATATAGTACACATTCCGACAAGTCGATCCTAAGAAGAGATGTGAAAATCGTGTATTCAAATTTATTAGAGTAATGCTATATGTACACGCCGGTTTACACGGCGGTGTACACAGCTTAAAAAGTCCCACCCCTTCCTTCTAACTCACCCCACTTTTGAATTAATCCTCCCCACTTCCCTCCCACTCCCCTCTTTCCTCTCCCTCCCTGCGCCCAAATCCCCTCTCCTTCTCTTCCTATTTTCTTTTTTCTTCTCTCCCTCCCTGCACCCAACTTCCTTCTCCCTCTTTTCCTCTTTTCTTTTTTCTTTTCTCCCCCTCCCTGCACCCAACATTCTTCAGCCTCTTTTCCTCTTTCCCTCTTTCCTTCTCCCTCGTAAATAACTCATCTCACTTTCTCCATCTTTTTTCTTTTCTTGTTTTCTTCATTTCAAAAGCTCTCACTTTTTTTGCAGATCTGAATCTGTACAGAAAAACAAGAGGAGTCACAATTGAATCTACTTTGCTCTCTCAAATATTATTCATGAGGTAATACTTTATTTCATTTTTTTTGCATTTATGGTTATATTTTTTCCTTTTTTTAATTTTATTTATACAAAATATGTTGTGGTGATGTTGATGAATGTTTATTACAATATAATATTAGTATGGATTTGTTATAATTTAAAATTTTATTCAACAATTATAGCTCACTTTTATGCCTATTAAGTGTTTGTTGAAATGTTTCAATGAGATGTAACTATGTATAATTGATTTTTAACTTTAATTCAGTTTATGGTTTTACTGAGATGTCTGTGTAGTGTGTTGTTATATGTCTGTGCATTTTTTAGTTGTCTGTGCGTTTTACCTGAGACGTCTGTGTAGTTTGTTAGTTATACGTTTGTGGATTTTATAGTTGTCTTTATGGTTTTCCTGAGACGTCTGTGTAGTGTGTTGTTATATGTTTGTGCATTTTTTAGTTGTCTGTGCGTTTTACCTGAGACGTCTGTGTAGTTTGTTGTTATACGTTTGTGGATTTTATAGTTGTCTTTATGGTTTTCCTGAGACGTCTGTGTAGTGTGTTGTTATATGTTTATGCATTTTTTAGTTGTCTGTGCGTTTTACCTGAGACGTCTGTGTAGTTTGTTGTTATACGTTTGTGGATTTTATAGTTATCTTTATGGTTTTCCTGAGACGTCTGTGTAGTGTGTTGTTAAATGTTTATGCATTTTTTAGTTTTCTGTGCGTTTTACCTGAGACGTCTGTGTAGTTTGTTGTTATACGTTTGTGGATTTTATAGTTGTCTTTATGGTTTTCCTGAGACGTCTGTGTAGTGTGTTGTTATATGTTTATGCATTTTTTAGTTGTCTGTGCGTTTTACCTGAGACGTCTGTGTAGTTTGTTGTTATACGTTTGTGCTTTTTTGAAGTGTCTACACAGACAATATTTTTGAACGTTTTTGCAAATATGTTGTAAAATGTATGCAAATGAATGCAATTGGGTTTGTTCTTGTGCACGTTCTTTGGGCGTATATAACTTTAAATATAGCGTTATTATGTTTTTAGGCGGCACATATAAGCCTAAATGGATGCACATTCAGGTTTAATTGTTGTAATGATTTTTATTTTCTTGCCAGGAACTATTTATGCTCTTTGCATGGCGGGGATAATGAACCTTCGATGCATGTGTTTGATAAACCGAATGATGGCAGAAAAAGGATTGAGGAAGTCAAGAATGAGATATTTTGAATACATGATAACTAAATATTTTATTCTTGTAACTAGCTCTATTGTAAAATTAAGGTTCTTGTGTTTAGAATGATAGTGTAATTGAAGTTGCTAATGTCTACAATGTATGTTTTGTGTTATGAAAATGAAGTTGGATGTTTTGTGTTGGACACATACAATTGTCTATGTGTTTCCTTATTTTGTCTTTGTGTAATTGAAATATCATCTGTCATTGTTTATATTGTCTGTGCAAGATTAAAACATTGTCTGTTCGTTTGTTTTGTCTGTACATAGATAATAATTGTTATCCGTGTATTCATATATTTCGTCTGTGTGCGATTAAAACATTGTCTGTTCAAGTATTTTGTCTGTTAGATGAAGAGTTTAGATGAATATGATATTACATGTCTGGTCACAAACAATAGTTACTAGAATGGGTTAATGTTTTAAGTAAAATTATCTGTCAACTAGACAAATGTGTCAGTCACATACAATAGCCATAGAAATGGGCTTATGTGGTAAGTGAAGTTGTCTGTGAACATGATATGTAGTGTTTGGTTATAAATACACATATATTTTGCATGATTTACATCCATAATGAGAGTAAGATTACTAATTCACCTTTCATAATTCAACATTGTTTAAAAACACAATTTACTTCACCAATATTGAAAGTCATTTTCTTTTCACACGACAAAAACACACATCTTTGAGAATAAAATCACTCCAAATACAATATCATTCTAAATGTAAAAACTTTAACTTTACACCGAATACAATATCATTCCAAATGTAAAAACATTAAATTTACAATATAAGTAATTACAAACATAAATCCTTTATTATCCTTTGCTTTGAAGCTCTCATGCAAACATGTAAACACATGTTTCGAAGGTTCATTATCCCGCCATGCAAAAAGCATAAATAGTTCCTGTCAAGAAAATAAAAATCATTACAACTATTAAACCTGAATGTGCATCCATTTAGGCTTATATGTGCCGCCTAAAAACATAATAAAGCTATATTTAAAGTTAGATAAGGATGTTTTTACTTGGACTGTAATTTGTCCCAGACCAGACCAGTCCAGACCAGACCAGTTCAGACCAGACCAGACCAGACTTGGATAGTTATAAAAATACAAAGAAACCAGACCTTACCAGACCAGTTCAGACCAGACCAGACCAGATCAGACCAGACCAGCAAATTACAGTCCAAGTAAAAACATCCTAAGCCTAAAGAACGTGCACAAGAACAGACCCAATTCCATTCATTTGCATAGATTTTACAGCACATTTGCAAAAACGTTCAAAAATATTGTATGTGTAGACACTTCAAAAAAGCACAAACGTATAACAACAAACTACACAGACGTCTCAGGTAAAACGCACAGACAGCTAAAAAATGCATAAACATATAACAACACACTACACAGACGTCTCAGGAAAACCATAAAGATAACAATAAAATCCACAAACATATAACAACAAACTACGCAGACGTCTCAGGTAAAACGCACAGACAACTAAAAAATGCATAAACATATAACAACACACTACACAGACGTCTCAGGAAAACCATAAAGACAACTATAAAATCCACAAACGTATAACAACAAACTACACAGACGTCTCAGGTAAAACGCACAGACAACTAAAAAATGCACAAACATATAACAACACACTACACAGACGTCTCAGGAAAACCATAAAGAAAACTATAAAATCCACAAACGTATAACTAACAAACTACACAGACGTCTCAGGTAAAACGCACAGACAACTAAAAAATGCACAGACATATAACAACACACTACACAGACATCTCAGTAAAACCATAAACTGAATTAAAGCTAAAAATCAATTATACATAGTTACATCTCATTGAAACATTTCAACAAACACTTAATAGGCATAAAAGTGAGCTATAATTGTTGAATAAAATTTTAAATTATAACAAATCCATACTAATATTATATTGTAATAAACATTCATCAACATCACCACAACATATTTTGTATAAATAAAATTAAAAAAAGGAAAAAATATAACCATAAATGCAAAAAAAATGAAATAAAGTATTACCTCACGAATAATATTTGAGAGAGCAAAGTAGATTCAATTGTGACTCCTCTTGTTTTTCTGTACAGATTCAGATCTGCAAAAAAAGTGAGAGCTTTTGAAATGAAGAAAACAAGAAAAGAAAAAAGATGGAGAAAGTGAGATGAGTTATTTACGAGGGAGAAGGAAAGAGGGAAAGAGGAAAAGAGGCTGAAGAATGTTGGGTGCAGGGAGGGGGAGAAAAGAAAAAAGAAAAGAGGAAAAGAGGGAGAAGGAAGTTGGGTGCAGGGAGGGAGAGAAGAAAAAAGAAAACAGGAAGAGAAGGAGAGGGGATTTGGGCGCAGGGAGGGAGAGGAAAGAGGGGAGTGGGAGGGAAGTGGGGAGGATTAATTCAAAAGTGGGGTGAGTTAGAAGGAAGGGGTGGGGCTTTTTAAGCTGTGTACACCGCCCGCCGTGTAAACCAGCGTGTATACCGCCCGCCGTGTAAACCGGCTTGTATATTCACAGGCATTACATTGTAGCCTAGGGATCACACAATAACGTAACCCGTTAGGTTAAATCTGTATGGGTATTCACGTATCACCCATGTTTAAACGAAAAGATGAGGTAAATATCATTTTTTTATGAATACTGATAAGTCTGTATTTAGACACGCATTTGATGCATGTTGAGATCGACTTTTAATGGTTTTCCTAGCTTTAAGGTGTTACAAGTCTCAATTTTACCTCAAGTTATGTTTACCAGGCGTTGGTTCGAGTTTCGTTGCATTTGGAGTCAAAATCAGGATTTTTGAGTTCGGCACGGGCGCTTGAGAAGCAATCGGGATGATTTGAGAAGCATTCAAGATTGATATGAGAGATTTGGAGGTCAGTGGGAGGTTCACGATGAAGATTTGATGACAAAAGAGCTCTAGAACTGGCTACGAAATCAAAAGAAGACGAATGGAGCTTGAAATCGGCGATCAGGATGACCTTCTGTCAATCGTTCAAGCATATCTCTTTGTAGAAACAACCAATGGACACGATTCAAGTTCCATATGAAAGCTAACTTCAAGGGCTACAAATTATGTGAAAACATATTTGCGAGAATCTGAGAGGAAGAAGGTGAAAACATATGATCAAGTCAGATGATCTCTGCTGCGATTCAGAAAGACACCTTCCACCGTTTTGATCATATCTCTTGATTGGATGATTCAAATCACATTCAGCAAATTGGGGTGGATAGAGGACTTCATTATCTACAACGTTCATGAAGGAAGAATTTCCAAATTCGAAAGTTAGGTAGGCACGATTGTGCCCTCAAAGTCAGGCACGATCGTGCGTGAAGAGAAAGCATCGTGGAGTTACTGCCAGCCAGGCACGATCGTGCCTGGAGGGAAGCACGATCGTGCCTGCCCAAAATGCGCGTTTTTGCTCCGGAGGCACGATCGAAGGAACGATCGTGCTTGGCTCCGAAAATCCCAATTCAGCTCAAATTTCACCCGATTTTTCTATTTAAACAGCCTGTAAACCCCCGTTTTCAGGGGGGCTTAGAGAGAATGCCTAGCACAAATTTTAGAGAACTTTTCAGCCTTGTTCATCAATCTTTTGGGATTCTTTGTAAGTTCCACCTTTTTAATTAATGACAATTAATTCTTTTTATTCCAATTCTATTGATTCTTCAATTATGAATTGTGAGTAGTTTTAATTAGGGATTTGGGATTGATCAAGGGGTTGATCATGATGTGTGGCTAGATTCCTTTCGATTTAATTGCATGAATGTCTTTTAATTTGTGTTTGAATAATTTAATTGATATATTTTGTAACCTAGAACGGCCGCTAGAATTACAATTGCTTGTAGAATAAATTAAGAGAGATCTAATTTATTCTAGGACACATTTACACACACTTAATCGTTCGCTAAGAGATTAGTAGCGATTAAAGGGCCGTAAGCTCGCTCGTCTTGGCAATAAGTTAGGATCCTGTCGCATGAGAGATCAGTCTGGTCCCCTAAATTATTGTACTCTACACCGCGAGAGCGGTAAGAACTTAGTAATGATTAGCTAGGCTCAATTAAATTAATTTCATGTAATTAAGCCTGATCTGCCAGAAATCTTATTACCCCCGGAATCAATCCATGTTCTCTTCGTCATTTATTAGAAAGAACCCCCTAGTTTAATCGTTCCATTCGCATTAGTTTAATTTTCATACCAATCATATCTCGCACGACACATTTTTTATTTATTTATTTATTTTTAATCGCTGAATTTAGTTAATTCTTAATTCCCTTTTGTCCGTCCCTGTGGAGACGATACTCGTACTTACACCACTATATTACGATCTATTTTAAGTGCGAGAAAACACTCATCAAATACCCAAGCTACAATTACGGATACTAATTGGCATTAGTATGTCGAATGGCAATTAGACATACCCCATGTTCATATACTATCTTTGGACTCATAAGTATTTATTAACATCGGTATTGATCTAAATGGGTACGATGGGAAGGGATAATTTCCTATCCATAGGCGAGGTGACTTGTATAATTAAATTGTTTAATCCTGATTGAGCCAGAATAAAATTCATTAATTACGAAGTAGTTCAGAAATACACAATGGATGTAACATTATGTTGTAGTGTTGTACCATATGAGAAACATAAATCCTAATGATGTCGTGAGTGATCATTGAACGAAACAAGTAATGGCACGATGTAGAATTAGGATGTTTTCTTTTGGACTGTTTTCAGTCCCAGACCAGACCAGACTTAAACAGACCAGACCAGACCAGACTTAAACAGACCAGACCAGACCAGACTTAAACAGACCAGACCAGACCAGACTTAAACAGACCAGACCAGACCAGACCAGACTTCCGTAGTTATAAAATACACAGAGACCAGACGTTTACCAGACCAGACCAGACCAGTTCAGACCAGACCAGACCAGACTTAAACAGACCAGACCAGACCATACCAGACTTAAACAGACCAGACCAGACCAGACCAGACCAGCAAATTTCAGTCCAAAAGAAAACGTCCTTATACATAGTATGACTTTGGGTGTATATTAATAACAATACGGACATCCAATATATTTCAGACTCAATGGTTCCTATTCAGGTTGATTAATGAGAACATATAGTGTTTTCACCATTATCTTGTGTTCATAATTCTTTTTCTAAGTTCGGATTACCATTGAGTCTACCGTTAATCATGATCTCACTCGGAATTTTCCTACATGTTCTTCATACGAAGAACAATAATTAGGGTATATAGTGTGACCAGGTACTATGGTCTAGTAGTACCAC